CAGCAGGAACACACTCCCACTAACGGCAGACTCAAGCCCACCCCACTTCTTTGGTAGCAAGGACAGAGTCTGAATTTATAGGAGGGGACAACACGAAGGAAATGAAGGCAGATTTGATATTCAACAGCAACAAGTCGCTCCAGAGTGTGGAGCTCTGCTTCCTGCCGCTGGAGGGAGAGCTAGAGCCTTGCAAGTCTCGGGAGAGACAAACCAAACCCCCGAGGCCCTCAGAGCCCAGTTCAAAGCAGAAAAGAAAAAAGCCCCCTCGCTCCAAGGACAATGACAGTGCGTTGGCTCTCCCCCAGGGCTGTCAAGGGTGGCCGTGCCATCACTGCAGGGCAGCCTTGCCTTGCAGCTGCTCCCTCCCAGCGCGCACCCCGCACGCAGCCAGGAGTCTGCTCACAGCTCACACACACAATCTAATATGCACCGAACGAGAGCTGTGATGTGCTCCACCAGACAACAAAGTCTTCTTGGGGGCTGGTAATCCCAGAACGGTTTGGGTTGGAAGGGACCTTAAAGACCATCTTTAGGCGGGGCCCCCCTCCACTAGGCCAGGTTGCTCAAAGCCTCATCCAGCCTGGCCTTGAACACTTCCAGGGATGGGGCATCCACAGCTTCTCTGGGCAACCTGTTCCAGTGCCTCACCACCCTCTCCGGGAAGAACTTCTTCCTGATATCCAATCTAAACCTCCCCACTTTCAATTTAAACCCGTTACCCCTTGTCCTGTCACCGCATGCCTATATATGAAAGCATATATAATATCTTACATATGTATATACTAGAAGAGTCGTGCATGACCTGCATCTCCCCAGGTCTCAGCAAATTAAACTCTCAACAGACAAGAGCTGTCTTGTTGATCCCACATTTCACCACTGTGCTGAACGTAGTGCCCTCTTACACCAGGCAGCAGTGCTCAGAACACTAGGACTGACTTTCCACAGGATATACAAGGCAACAGATTTGATTAAATACCTGATATAGGATGAAATTTTTCCAGACCTCACTGTGGTTTATGTGAATTTACATATTCAAACCCTATCTCTCCACAGTACACAAAATTTACATTCTGTGATGTGTGTGATGTAATCCCACTATAAAGTGCTTACGCAAGCTACTACGTACTGGAAGAAGAGGAGCAGATGTGTTTTAATAGCAATCACTGTGGTCTTCTTTTGTGGCTGTAACA